TTTTTCCGGCGTTTTTTTTCTTAGAAATTTTTTTTCTGCCGTTAATTTTCTTGGATTATTTTTTTTTTATATATATTTTTCCCTTTTACAATTATTTTTTTTTAGCGTTCTTTTTCTTAGAAATTTTTTTTCCGGCGTTTTTTTTTCTTAAAATTTTTTTTTCGGCGTTAATTTTCTTAGATTATTTTTTTTAAATAATTTTTTCCTTTCTACAATTATTTTTTTCCGGCGTTTTTTTTCTTAGAAAATTTTTTTCCGGTGTGAATTTACTTAGATTATTTTTTTTTAGCATTTTTTCCCTTTTAAAATTATTTTTTTTCGACGTTCTTTTTTTTAGGAAATTTTTTTTTCTGCCGTTAATTTTCTTGGATTATTTTTTTTTTATATATATTTTCTTCCCTTTTACAATTATTTTTTTTTAGCGTTCTTTTTCTTAGAAAATTTTTTTCCGGCGTTTTTTTTCTTAGAATTTTTTTTTCTGCCGTTAATTTTCTTAGATTATTTTTTTTATATATTTTTTTCCCTTTTACAATGATTTTTTTTTCAGCGTTCTTTTTCTTAGAAAATTTTGTTCCGGCTTCCGGCATTTTTCTCTTAAAAAATTTTTTTCCGGTGTTAATTTTTTTAGATTATTTTTTTCAAATAATTTTTTCTTTTCTACAATTATTTTCTTTCGGCGTTTTTTTTCTTAGAAAAATTTTTTCCGGCGTGAATTTTCTTAAATTATTTTTTTTTAGCATTTCTTCCCTTTTAAATTTTCTGCATTTTTTTGAAAATTTTTTTCCGGCGTATTTTTTTCTTGAATTTTTTTTTTTCGGCGTTAATTTATTTTTAATTTTAAAATTTTTTCTTTTCTTCAATTTTTTTTTTCAGGCGTTTTTTTTTTTTAGAAAAATTTTTTCCGGCGTGAATTTTCTTAGATTATTTTTTTTAGCATTTTTTCCCTCTTAAAATTATTTTTTTTCGACGTTCTTTTTCTTAGAAAATTTTTTTCGGACGTTTTTTTTCTTAGAAAAAATTTTTCTACCGTTAATTTCCTTAGATTATTTTTTTTCAGCGTTCTTTTTCTTAGAAAATTTTTTTCCGGCGTTTTTTTTTCTAAAAATTTTTTTTTCGGCGTTAATTTTCTTAGATTATTTTTTTTAAAATTTTTTTTCTTTTCTACAATTATTTTTTTCCGGCGTTTTTTTTTTTAGAAAATTTTTTTCAGGTTTGAATTTTCTTAGATTATTTCTTTTTAGCGTTTTTTCCCTTTTAAAATTATTTTTTTTCGAAGTTCTTTTTCTTAGAAATTTTTTTTCCAGCGTTTTTTTTTTTTAAAAAAAATTTTTCCGGCGTTTTTTTTCCTAGAAAATTTTTTTCGGACGTTTTTTTTCTTAGAAAAAATTTTTCTGCCGTTAATTTCCTTAGATTATTTTTTTTCAGCGTTCTTTTTCTTAGAATTTTTTTTTTTCGACGTTAATTTTCTTAGATTATTTTTTTTAAATAATTTTTTCTTATCTACAATTATTTTTTTCCGGCGTTTTTTTTCTTAGAAAAATTTTTTCCGGCGTGAATTTTCTTAGATTATTTTTTTTAGCATTTTTTCCCTTTAAATAATATTTTTTTTCGACGTTCTTTTTCTTAGAAAATTTTTTTCCGACGTTTTTTTTCTTAAAAAAAATTTTTCTGCCGTTAATTTCCTTAGATTATTTTTTTTCAGCGTTCTTTTTCTTAGAATTTTTTTTTTTCGACGTTAATTTTCTTAGATTATTTTTTTTAAATAATTTTTTCTTTTCTACAATTATTTTTTTCCGGCGTTTTTTTTCTTAGAAAATTTTTTTCCGGCGTGAATTTTCTTAGATTATTTTTTTTAGCATTTTTTCCCTTTAAATAATATTTTTTTTCGACGTTCTTTTTCTTAGAAAATTTTTTTCCCACGTTTTTTTTCTTAAAAAAAATTTTTCTGCCGTTAATTTCCTTAGATTATTTTTTTTCAGCGTTCTTTTTCTTAGAATTTTTTTTTTCGACGTTAATTTTCTTAGATTATTTTTTTTAAATAATTTTTTCTTTTCTACAATTATTTTTTTCCGGCGTTTTTTTTCTTAGAAAAATTTTTTCCGGCGTATTTTTTTCTTGAATTTTTTTTTTCGGCGGTAATTTTCTTAGATTATTTTTTTTTAATAATGTTTTCTTTTTTATAATTATTTTTTTCCGGCGTTTTTTTTCTTAGAAAATTTTTTTCCGGCGTTTTTTTTTCTTAAAATTTTTTTTTCGGCGTTAATTTTCTTAGAAAAATTTTTTCCGACGTGAATTTTCTTAGATTATTTTTTTTAGCATTTTTTCCCTTTTAAATTTTCTGCATTTTTTTGAAAATTTTTTTCCGGCGTATTTTTTTCTTGAAATTTTTTTTTTTCGGCGTTAATTTTCTTAGATTATTTTTTTTAAATAATTTTTTCTTTTCTTCAATTATTTTTTTCCGGCGTTTTTTTTTTTTAGAAAAATTTTTTCCGGCGTGAATTTTCTTGGATTATTTTTTTTAGCATTTTTTCCCTCTTAAAATTATTTTTTTTCGACGTTCTTTTTCTTAGAAAATTTTTTTCGGACGTTTTTTTCCTTAGAAAAAATTTTTCTGCCGTTAATTTCCTTGGATTATTTTTTATCAGCGTTCTTTTTCTTAGAAAATTTTTTTCCGGCGTTTTTTTTTCGTCGTTAATTTCTTAGATTATTTTTTTTAAATAATTTTTTCTTTTCTACAATTATTTTTTTCCGGCGTTTTTTTTCTTAGAAAATTTTTTTCAGGTGTGAATTTTCTTAGATTATTTTTTTTAGCGTTTTTTCCCCTTTTAAAATTATTTTTTTCGAAGTTCTTTTTCTTGGAAAATTTTTTTCCAGCGTTTTTTTTTTTTTTTTTTAATTTTCCGGCGTTTTTTCTCCTAGAAAATTTTTTTCGGACGTTTTTTTTTTTAGAAAAAATTTTTCTGCCGTTAATTTCCTTAGATTATTTTTTTTCAGCGTTCTTTTTCTTAGAATTTTTTTTTTTCGACGTTAATTTTCTTAGATTATTTTTTTTAAATAATTTTTTCTTTTCTACAATTATTTTTTTCGACGTTAATTTTCTTAGATTATTTTTTTTAAATAATTTTTTCTTTTCTACAATTATTTTTTTCCGGCGTTTTTTTTCTTAGAAAAATTTTTTTCGGCGTGAATTTTCTTAGATTATTTTTTTTAGCATTTTTTCCCTTTAAATAATATTTTTTTTCGACGTTCTTTTTCTTAGAAAATTTTTTTCCGACGTTTTTTTTCTTAAAAAAATTTTTTCTGCCGTTAATTTTCTTAAGATTCTTTTTTTTTATACTTTTTTCCCTTTTACAATTATTTTTTTCCAGCTTTTTTTTTCTTAGAAAATTTTTTTCCGGCGTTTTTTTTCTTAGAATTTTTTTTTCTGCCGTTAATTTTCTTGGATTATTTTTTTAAAATAATTTTTTCTTTTCTACAATTTTTTCCGGCGTTTTTTTTCTTAGAAAAATTTTTTCCGGCGTGAATTTTCTTAGATTATTTTTTTTAGCATTTTTTCCCTTTAAATAATATTTTTTTTCGACGTTCTTTTTCTTAGAAAATTTTTTTCCGACGTTTTTTTTCTTAAAAAAATTTTTTCTGCCATTAATTTTCTTAGATTCTTTTTTTTTATACTTTTTTCCCTTTTACAATTATTTTTTTCCAGCGTTTTTTTTCTTAGAAAAATTTTTTCCGGCGTGAATTTTCCTAGATTATTTTTTTTTAGCATTTTTTCCCTTTAAATAATATTTTTTTTCGACGTTCTTTTTCTTAGGAAATTTTTTTGCGCCGCCTTTTTTTTTTTTGAAATTTTTTCCGGCGTTTTTTTTCTTAGAAAATTTTTTTCTGCCGTTAATTTTCTTAGATTTTTTTTTTAATACATATATTTTTTTCCCTTTTACAATTATTTTTTTTCAGCATTCTTTTTCTCAGAAAATTTTTTTCCGGCATTTTTCTCTTAAAAACTGTTTTTCCGGTGTTAATTTTCTTAGATTCTTTTTTTTAAATATTTTTTTCCTTTCTACAATTATTTTCTTCCAGCGTTTTTTTCTTAGAAAAATTTTTTCCGTCGTGAATTTTCTTAAATTATTTTTTTTTAGCATTTTTTTCCCCTTTTAAATTATTTTTTTTCGACGTACTTTTTGTTAGGAAATTTTTTTCCAGCGTTTTTTTTCTTAGAAAATTTTTTTCCGGCGTTAATTTTCTTAGATTATTTTTTTCAAATAATTTTTTCTTTTCTACAATTATTTTTTTCCGACGTTTTTTTTCTTAGAAAAATTTTTTCCGGCGTGAATTTTCTTAGTTTATTTTTTTTTAGTATTTTTTTTCCTTTTAAAATTATTTTTTTCCGACGTTCTTTTTCTTAGGAAATTTTTTTCCAATGTTTTTTTTCTGAGAATTTTTTTTTTCGGCGTTTGTGAATCCGTTTCGGATCGCTTTTTGATCAATCGAGTGCAGTTTTGAGGAGAAAAATCGAAAGCGCTATTAGATTGGGACCAAGGATAGTCTCCCAAATTGAATAACTACACAATAAATGACGTCACGCGTATGCTTTCCCAGAGTGAAATTATACAAAATTAGATTCAAGAATTATTGATTGTGTTTTTAATCTTGGAAAAGAGAATGAAAACGAGTAATTATTTAAAAGATAGTATTTTAGCCATTTTCTAAAGTGAAACATTAATGTTTGTGGCTAATAAAAAATGTTAATTAGTTGGGTTTTTTTTCAATAAAATCTTATTTATTTAATATCCCTAAAAAACTGGTTATGGGCCCAGGAGGGTCCACAAAACTTTGTAATTGTGGAATAGTCGATTTTTCTACAATGTAATTTTTTGAATCGTTCTTGTTAAAAGGAAAACGATTCGGGAATTATCTATTCATATACAGTGTGGCCCAATTAGAATAGGACACTTTTGATAAGGATTTAAAATAAACACCAAAAAAAGCATAAACTAATATGTATATATTATTTTAAATTTACAATAATTACACAAATAACAAAGATATTTTTATTGAAATTACAACAATTACTATAGAAGCCTAATCAACGCCCTTTTTTTGTATAAATCATAGTAAAACTTCATTTCGGGAATGTAACTGTTTCTTTTTTTAAAAACTATTCTTTGACCTACTTGAGCCAAGTGACTGTACTATCGGACGACGGTTTAGGTTCCAAACTAATTCTCTTATGTCTATAAAAAATAAAAATACTGCTGGATAAAATGAAGGAAAAGGTGATTACGCTTTGCCAGCCAGCAATCCGGGTTTGTCGACGCCGACTTCTTGTTCCAGCTGACGGCCTAAATATTCCCAGTTGTGCACCATCAGCTTTTGGACGGCCAAAAGGGCTTCGTAGCGGACGTTGGGGTCGTCGTGGGCGAGCAGTTGCATTACCAGTTGTTTGCCTCCCAGTTGTTCAATTACACTGGAAAAAAAAAAGAAGAAAATAGTATTACATAAAAATTGTCGCATGAGTAGGTTCTATTTTGTCTATTTTCTAAGAAAAATAACTGTTAGGTACTATAGATTATGACAATTTTGAACTGTTTTTTGTATTTTGTATCAATGCACTTTGCATGAAGCATGTACAGGGTGAGTCATTTTGGGTGGGAATGCCAAGTACAGCTTAAACAGTAATAGATACAAAAAATATAATATGCATGTCGCGATTTAATGTTTTGCGTTAAGTTTAATGGACCACTCAGAATTGTTTTCAATATACAGGGGTGTTTTGGAAAATAGTTGATTTTTGTTTTCCTCTGTATCTTAGTTGTTACCAAAAATTTTAAGAAATGTTAAATCATGTTTGTGCGTGATTGTGTACGTAGAACTAAGTGGTGTACTCGAATTTTCTCTAAAGGTATTATGTTTTGAAATATAGTTCAAATTTTAATTTTTTCAAATGAGACACCCTATAGTACAGTGTGTCAAAGATAAGGATGGGATAGCATTAGGATCTGGAGAACGGTTGTAGTTACAATGTTGATTAGATCAGGAAAAAGTTGCGCAATTCAATGTTCAATAAAATGGTACTTTGACATTTGAAAAATTCCGAACATTTTCCGAGATATCCGGAAAAAAAACGAAATTTTGCAAAATTGATTTTATTTTTTCCTAAACTTATTTGAGGAGATATTTCAAAATAAATGTCACTTCATCGTTACCACTTTTCCTTCTCTACAATTTTGCAATATCTCCTCAAATAAGCTCAGAAAGAAATAAAATCGATTTTGCAAAATTTTGAATTTTTCCGTATATCTCGGAAAATGTTAGGAATTTTTCAAATGTCAAAGTACCATTTCATTGAGCGTTAAATTGCGCAACTTTTTCCTAGTTTAACCAAAATTGTAACTAGAACCGTTCTTCAGATTCGAATGCTATCCTATTCTTATCTTGGACACACTGTATATTTTTACAAAATACTTATTTGTATTTACTTGTGTACCATTTTTTTCTTAGTTTCTCTTATGGATTTCTTTTCTTCATTTCTCAGTTTTTCCCGGCTCTTGAATTTTCATTTTCTTTCAAATTTTTTTAAATAGATAAAATTCAAGAGCCTGGAATAGGAACAAAATATTTTGTGTTTACCAATTTTGTCTCTATTCCTCTTTAATTTCTTCTCACTATTTTCCAATTTTTCTTAAAAAAACATGAATGTCCTCTCATACCTACAATACTAACCTTGGAGATACTCACAAAGAAATAATAACAACATGGTTTCAAGCAATTGCCTTAAATAACCAAAAATAAGAAACGATGTGGTGCGGGAGTGCGGGGAAAAAAGTGTAAATAGAAACAGACGACGTGTTAGCTGTCAAATTCAGAAATATGACTAGCAGAATCAAATTCATAGCGATTTCCATTCGCAGAATCAGTGCAAAAAAAATGTGTTTTTATCGTTATATTTTCATGCTTTCACCAGAAACAATTCGGAACCGATTTTGAACAAATTCCATCGGTGCCAGGCTAAGCTAACTTCAAGTTTGAGACATGACATTCGCAATTCGTTCACATATTCGACAAGGTTCTGGAGTTTTTGTTCGGTTCCAAAACTGTTCGCGATAAAATAGGAACCTGAACCCATTCACAAGTTGGGTTCGGGTTGCTCACTCCGAGTTACTCCAGCCGTTATCTGATAAGCTAAAAGGTAATACCCGAACGGCTGAAGTGCGAATGAGTAGAGTAAGATGGTATGTTCACCATCATAGGCTCCACCCCATGGGTGCGAGAGAGACAGCACTATACCCTGTCTCTGCGGGTGTGAGAGAGAGAAGGCACAATATCAGCACTGTAAATATCAGCCGCCGCCTGCGCCCTCTATCCACCATCACGCGTACTATCAACCATTGACTGAAACTCTTGTTAGACACTAGCGCAACCTATCCTAAATCAGTCGCACTACCTGGGATTAGTTATTCGCAAGCACAGGAATCTATAATTTTCTTGCCTTTAAATAATTAAAAATAAAAAAGGTCTTTATCAACCGAAACAGCAATTAAGGTCAGGGTGAGGCAAGAGGGAACATCAATAAGGAAAGGCCAGTGCTGATCATCTATACAAAAACTCATTCGGATTTAGGACTTCTATTTTTCAATTGATTCACGGTCTATCGAGATAGATCGGATTGAATTCTTAAAAAAAAAATCCAGTTCCTTACTGACGTGTACCGTCATCCTATTTCCAAAGTGAAACGTTAGTCACTAACCTATCGACGATTATGGAAATAATTTTGACCAAATAAGCTGATAGAAATAAAGCGAGAATGTGAAGTCTGCATCGCATGAAATTGCATATTATTAAAAAATATGCCTGAGGTTATGTAAGAAATATAATATTTTTATCTGAAAAAATAGTCACACAAGCGCGAAATGGAGAAATCTCGTTATATACACACATTCGCAAAGAGATGTCTATGAAAATTCCGAAGCAGAAGTTCAAGATTGAACAAATCTAACTGGATTGTTTGATATATATTTTGTAAAAATAGTTATTAAGTACTTATCATTATTGTTTTTTAGTAATAAGTAGAATATTGTGAACAGATTCTCACGCATAATAAATGTTTTTAAGTTGGTTTAAGACCAAGTGCTTTAATATTATTTTCAACGGAGCAATTTGCTTTAAATCACTTTCAACATTCCTGAATAGGTGTAAGGTTGCATTTCAGCGATATTATCCGCGATCTGTCCTCAATTTGATAAATTTTGTTTTAAATATTAGAACAACCCTAATTAGAGCAAATAGTCATACAAATCCGTTGAGACACCTATTTTCTGTTCAAATCTGCCTTTAAAACCAGAAAATCGTTCAAATTTGTTCTAAATATGATTTCCTTGTGCTTTTTTTTTTTGATATATCCAACATAGTATCAAATGAGTTAAAGTTTACTTTCAACAATATAACAACCCAAAATGGAGCTTATAGTGACATGGATCATTCGGAGATGTATTTTAATTTTTACTCTAAATTTTCCATTAAAACCAGAAAATGAAATAAAGTTTCAAATGTGTTTTTTTTGTACCTTTCTTCTATTTAAATATCAAGCAAGACTGTCCTAGTTCGGTGTGAGATTACATTGAGGACATTTTCCGCAATTTTCTACTTCTTTTCAATTAATATATGATTCCAACGAAGTAGCTAAATTGGGGAAAAATAATTACACATTATTATTCCATTTAGACACGTGTTTTCGATCCAATTTTGCATTTAAAAATAGAAAATGGTCTAACTATCTAACACAAACGTGTTTTCTTGTTATTATTTCTATAATTCCCAATATCAACAGAGTTTGTCCAAAATTGGTGAAATATTGCATTTCAACTACATCTTCCGCAATTGTTTCTTTCTTTTCGAAGAAAATCTATTCAAAGTAGTCTTAATAAACTATAGTAGACCTATTTTTGGTTCAAAATTGAATTCAAAACCCCAAAATGGTCTAACTTTGTCCTATACTAAGTGCTTTCTTTTGGCTGTTTCTATTTAAATATTCAGAGAAAATGTCCATAATTAGTGGAAACTTGCATTTCGACTACATTTTCTGCGATTTTCACTCTTTTTAATGTAATGTACCATCCAACATCTATCTAAAATATCACGTTTTTTCATCTAATTTTGCATTTAAAAATAGAGAAACTGGTCTAAAGTTGCTCCAAACGTATTTCCCGGTTTTTTTTTTCTATAATTGCAAATATAAGCAGAATCTGTCTCAAATTGGTGAAAGATTGCATTTGAACCACATTTTCTGCAATTGTTTCTTTCTTTTCGATCAAAATCTATCCAACATTGTCTTAAACTTTTGGTTCAAAATTGAATTCCAAACCACAAAATGGTCTTACTTTGTCTTACCAAGTGCTTTCTTTTGGCTTTTGCTATTGAGATATTTAGAAAAAATATCCATAATTAGTGGAAAATTGCATTTCAACGACATTTAAAGTCTGCGTTAAAAAAAAAAAAAAAACAATTTAAATTGGAACTGAAAGTTATCCTCCATAGACGTGTAGACTTATCGTGGACGAATATTTGGTTCAAATTTGCATTCAAAACCAGAAAATGTTCTAAATTTGTACCAAGTGTTTCCTTGTGCACATACTTTCTTAATCGGGGTTAGATTGAATTTCAACGATAATTCCACAATTTTTTATCAAAATTTATCCAACGTAGTGTGTTAAAGTTCACATTCAACAATAATAGTTATTAATGATACTAGTTCGATATGAACATCATAATGAAACGCGTGTAACGTTAAACCACGAGGCGGTAGCCGAGTGGTTTAGTTACACAAGTTTCATTAAAAAAGTTCATATCGAACGTGTATCATTCAAAATTTAATCTACGATGGTCCAAATAGATTTGATTTGCCTTGAAATAGCAAAAACTTTTCAAATTAAAATTCAAAGTTTAGCAGGTATACCCGTACTAGTCTGGGAACCTGCTTGTTGATATTTAGAATTTTGACTTTGGCAGCTTCAATTTTTGTGCCATAAATTCAGTTTTATAGTGGAAAATAATGTTAATATTCGTGATTCTGAGTTCGATTCGTGTCCTTTCGAATATCGAGACAGCATCAATGAAAAGGTTCTTCTGGTAACTAGCTTTCTTTTTGTATATTTTTCATTTCATAATTTGGGTGTTTTTATGAATTCTTAAACGCACTAGTGCTATTATGAAGAACCTAATGACATTCAAATGACAATGCCAAATGTGTCATAATGACACCGACGTAGATTAAACAATAAAAAGTTCACATTCAACAATAAAACAACCTAAAACAACGGATTCCCCTCCTCCACAAAAAAAAATATTGCATTTGAAATAAATGGAAAATATTCATCAAATATTTTAATCAAATGATTATCGAACACATTTTTTTAATTCCGAATTATAATTTTGCTTTTTTTCAAATATTTGTCAAATATTTTAAAAATA